AATTATAGTTGATAAATTTGAACTTATGGAATTATTCAATAAAACTAAAGATCAATCTGAGAATAGTTTATGGCATGAAGTCAGAAATTGTCGAATATCAGCTAATGTAAAAGCCCATACAATTAAAACTTTTAAGAATTTATCTATTGAACATCAAAATAACCTTGCATATATATTGAAAAAGTATTAGGATACCAAGGTAAAATCAATGTTGCTTATGGGAAAAAGTATGAAGAGGAAGCTGTAGAGTCATATTCTAAATTTTTTGGTGCTACAATTTTAAAATGTGGTATTGTAATTCATGCTCAAAAACTATGGCTGTGTGCCAGCCCAGATGGTATTGTAATAGAAAACCATCAAAACGTAAAAGTTTTAGAAATAAAATGCCCTATATCGTGCAAGTCTAAACTAATAATTGATCATGATAATAAAATTTGTAATGTTTCATATTTAAAATATGAAAACAATAAAATAGTTYTCAAGTCAAGTCATCAATATTTCACCCAGTGCCTGATATTAATGTACAGTACAGGATTAGAAAAATGTGATTTATTTATTTACAAYAAAATTGAACCTGTAACTGTAACTATAGAAAGAGATGTTTCCTTCTTAAAATCATTAATAGCAAGACTAGAATTCTTCTATTTTAGTTTTTATTTGCCAAATCTTACTTCTAAGTAATTATGTATAGTATTTTTTTTTGTTAAAACACATTTATTCATATTATATTAAATAACTACTAGTAAAAAAAATAAAAAKACCAATATTAAACTCTGTTAAATTATATTAAAGTACATGATATAATATTACATTATGTAAATAATTTTTAATTTTTATTATTTAAATAAGATTACATTATGTTTTGTTTTAATACATTAAAAGTTCATGGTTTGAATACTTAAATAATTATTTATCATTTATTATAGGATTTTGCAAATTTGTCAACACACAACAAATGTGTATTACTTCATCAACATATGGTAGCAAATCCATAGTAATTTTATTTAAAATTAAATAGGTTTTTAATTTTGCAAAAACCCTTTCAATATGAATGYGCACACTAGCGACKGTATATGTTTCTAATACTTCATCCTCAGAAAGTGACCATTGTGAAGAATAGGAGGTACTACGAGAATACTTTTTGATCCTTCCAAGGCTACTTTAATGCCAGGGAACCCTTTATCTGCTAGGACTTCATCTCCTGGTTCTAATTTCGATAAGAATCCACTGTTATTAGTAATGACCGAATCACTAGTTCTACCACCATATGCTTTGGATAGGAAACATATTAAACTACTGGGGTTTATAGCCACTAGCACTTAAACAGTATAAGTATTTTTGTACCGTGAAAACATGTACACTCTTTGTTCAACAGTGCTTGGCTGCTCTGTTTTGATTTCATTACAGTCAATTATGCACCTACAATTGGGATAGTTTAGTTTAAATGCTTTGGGCAAGGTATTAATTACTGTTCTCTTATTGGGCCAAAAAATAAAATGTTTTGTATGGTTAGCTAAAAAGTGCAATATGGTATAAAAAATTCTAGTTACAGTTGTGCGATTTATATTAAATAGTACACTAATAGCTGAGTAAGTTATGCCTAATTTAATTTTTAAAAGAAATATTAATAATCTATTTTCCTTAGTAACTGAGCTATTTGATGAGTCAGCTATTAGTGAGAGTAAAAGATTAAAAATCTTAAAAGTAGTACCTGTAAGATATTTTAATTGCATCTCATTTGATATTGAATGAAATCCGCTAAAATAATTTAAATTTACAAAATATATGTCTGGACCACATGATATGTCAACTGTATTAGGCTTTTGGAAGGTGTTATTATAAGTTACCGGCAGACATGCTTGTGTCATGACATCAGAATTTGTTTTAGTGAATGTACATTCAAAAGTAAAATTTTCAGTACCATCAAAATCAAATGCAACCTGAGTACTTACRCTTACACTTTTCATATCATTTAACATTTGTGATTGTGCACAGTCAGAACTCAGAGATAWAACTTCATTACTATTTAAAACTGCCTTTTGTTTGTTATTTTGACGTTGGAGGAAACCTCCAACCTTCAACGAAACGTTGATACCTAGAATTTTGTTGTTGTTCATTAGTTGACTGTCTTTTATAAATTGTAGGAAATACTGATGGAACATATGCTGGACTTCTTGGATCTTTAGATCTTCTATTGCCTATGAAATG